AATATAGGTCTTGAACCCACTCTTGAAGAAGTTTCATTTATATAAGTACTAGCTGACCCGACAGACTTCGTCCTGTCAAAAAGATTTGTAATGTGGCAGTTTTTTTGCCTACGTATTTAAAAAAATTCTCCTGAACAGAACCGTCACCCTGGTGATAGGGCGTTGTGAATAAAAAATAATTAAATAAAACATATATAAGGATTTAAAAGTAAGTAATCGCTTTATTGTTAATCATGTGAATCATAATTATTATTGCAATGTATTAATAGTAATAGTATTAAATATAGAAAAAAGAGATTTTTATGATCATAAAAACACATTACACACAACAGCATTATAAAAGTAAACTATTCGAATTAAAAAAATATATAAACATTCTCAAGGAAAAATGCTGGAAGAATCCATCTACCTGTACCCCGGAATGGGACTCGAACCCATTCGCGATCCAGGGACTGCTCTAACCAATGAGCTATCTAGGACCCAACAGCTTTGCTACTACAGAGCGTATTTTCATCAATGTTCCGGCAATACATGTAATGACGTGGAAACTGATGCATTTTATCTCGCGTGCCGAAACTAATACAAAAGAAACGCGAGTTTCGGAACGCGACATTAAACTCCTCCAACTATGTATTCTGTGCTCCAACGCACACACGCACAATGTTTTGATAGATATGATCTTTGACGTTAGGAACACACCTACATTGCTTAGACAACAGTGAGTGCTTGTAATTTAATATGAACTTTATACCATAGCAATAAAGCTCAAATTGACTACGTTTTAGTTACAAATCATTTGTATGGGAAAAAGAAAAGGGCTATTTTTAGGGTTTTTCCAGCAATAATTCTAATTTTTCTCGCCGTAAAAACCATCCTTGAACTTCAACGAACATTTTAAAAAAAGATTTGGCCAAATTGGTCGAGGCGTTGTTGAGTTATGCGCTTACCAACACATTCTGCGATTCATTTTTATATATATAGATAAATGAAAGTTCTTCAAGAGTGGGTTCAATCATGCATAGTAAATTACACCATATCAATATTTTGACGCTATTAAAACTTTCACTTCACATTTTCACTGGCTAAAAATAAAAAGCCTGTTGGTGACGGAAAACAATTAACATATAGAAACTTTTTCGAGTTTTATTTTTACAACAGAAAGCTAGTTATTTAGAGTTGGTAGGTTTCATAAGTTTCATTCTCGAGTAGTTTTTAAAACAATATTTTGAAGACTGTCACTGGGGAAAACCGTTTAGAATTCACTATTTTAATGAGGAATTTGCGTCATAATAATTATGAAACATGTAAACAATAATCATTATTAAAGTGATATTGACAAAAGTTTGCAATTTTTACTATTTTCAATATATTTTAAAGGTAACATGCTATCTTTAGTAAACGTTAACTCTCAATCCAGGGAGAGTCATCCGTGTTTCCAGTTAGTCACGCCTCATGAATCTTAATGTTCCAGCCCGTGATTATTTTTAGATTATTTTATGAAAATTAACATCATGATTTGATTTGAGAACGAATATTCAGGTGTAGATATTATGATAAGCTATTTTTAAGTAAAGAACCTAAATAAGATTTTATTAATATTTTAATAACCACACACAATTATGTCGACAAAAGCTTGGAATCACATCAGAAAGTAATTAAATACATTATAATATACTTGTAGATAGCAGTTAAAATTTTAATCACACAGGCGCGGGTAAAGTATCGATTTTCATCCATCATGATCAAGTCAAAGAGATAATTTAAAATAAAAACTCATAACAAAAAAGAGTAAATCAAACATGGTAATGGAAAGCTGTAAAATTTGTGTAATTAAATATAACTACACAACCTTATTTGATCATCTTTTATGAAGGTCGAAATTATTAATAACATCTAACAACTAGTTTGAATAATTCCCAATCGGGTCAACTACAAAATGAACTTATATTATTGTCTCTTACCTTGGGTATGGATGGTGTGGTACCTACGTTGTTTTCAGAGTTCCATAATACAAGGGCTACATATAGCTACTTGGCTTAGGATCTGAAGAGTGTATGAATAATTATTTTTTTATTATTTAATAATACCGAATTAATTGAAAACATAAAACCCGATGGAAAATGAAATATTCGAGTTGAAACATTATATTACTTATTATAAAAAAATATATATATAATTTTACGAGTAAAATTCAACGATATCAAATAACGGTTTCGTAATTATGTCGATGGTTGACGGAATGCTTATATTAAGTGCTGTTTTCGGAACTTTACCACGTGTTGCAAAATTTTAATTTAAATTTTAGTATATATTACCTTTTTCTTAGAAACTCTACACAGTCAGATTTAGTTTTATTGTTTTCTTTATCTATACTCTATACTAATATTATAAAGAGGAAAGCTTTGATTGTTTGTTTGTATGTTTGCATCGAATAGTAAACGAAACCACTGGACCGATTTTAAAAATTCTATCACTTGCGGGAAGCTACATCACAAGCGGTGAACAGAGGCTATTCCGATATTATTTTATTCCGAAAAACAGCAAATAACGAATAAAATTGGGAGTGGAAGTTTGATGGAGAATAAAAACGTTGCCATACGTTCGTATGTTCATACATTACGTTTACCATTCATGTGTCATGGTATCAACCGATATCGAAATAAACAGTGCCTTAGCGGCCACGCCGGCGAAGCCGCTGGCGGAATGCTAGTTGTTGTATAAAAATACAAAATTAGTCAAATTAAAAATTGGGCAAAATAATTAAAGCACTCTAAACTGACAGTTAAAATTTCAGGATGAAGCATTTAGGGTGTCGCCAAGTATTTTTTCTATATTTTTTCTAGTTACACAACATTAAATTCAACTACTTCAAAATATAATAAATTATGTAATAATTATGATTCTGTTAAACGCTGTACTGTAACATAATAAGTATTGAAGCATTATAAATGCTTCTCACGAGAAACCTGATTTAGTTTTGCTTTATGGCTGTTAGCCTTATACTTAAACATTCTTAAACTTAATGACTTAAACACGCAAAAGTAATTTACATCCTTATACGGGCTCAGTAGTATATCATAAAATCCAACGAGTCACAACATTCTATTTTTTTGCGGTTTAGACTTTGATTAGGACACAACCTTTTAAAATTATTTATGTTTAAATTTCCTTACTGAGTGTTTTTACCTGAGTTAGCCTTGCAACAAGAGAACGGGCTTTCTTGATTTCCTTCCTATTATAAAGAGCTATAAACTTAAATCGTTTGCTTAAGTTGACGCTAGGAATTTAATTAGTCTATCTCTTAGTAATTGTAGAGGAATTTATTATATCTTGTTACTTTGTGAACGTTTATTGAAACGTATTGGGTCTTTTTGTGTTTGAAGATCACTTTGATAGTTGCAAAGCTTTGTGATTAATAAAGTTTAGTCATCTACAAATTATTTTCTTATTAGTTCAGATTTTAACGCGGTGGTTGGCGCGTTCGGTGTGAAGAGGATAAGCAGTTTTAAGAATAAGAAGATAAAACAATTTGAATGAGTAAATACTAGATATAGCATTTGAATTTTTTTTATGTGGTACAGCAACAACTTCCAAAATGATATCTCATCTCCATAAGACTCGATATACATCATAAAATTAAATTCTATTGTATTACAACGACATCTGAAAAAAAAATGCTAACTTTTATCATTAGTTATTAGAACTCTGGTATAAATTATATTAATTAAGTACATTATAATTAATATCATTTATACCAGATTCCAGCAAGTAAACTAAATCTCAATGTCTTAATTTTTGTATACGACAAGTTAGTCCCACTTTTCTTTTATTATTATCATTAATTTAAACTTATTTCATTCATTAATGAACATGTATTAAAGTATATTGAAATTAGTAACCGAGAAAAACTCACCTTGAAACAATAAAGATATGCATACGAAGGTTAATTTACACTAGGTCAGGAATACCTATTGAATGTTGTTTAAAGTTTATATTTTCACAGACGACGACAATGACATATGTTTTATCTATAATGATAATAAAAGTTCTTAGCCCACATAATTTTTTGCGTAACAAGCGTAGCTTATATACCTATATTTGAAATAGTTCCAATAATTATTGGAACTATTTCAAATATATTATTAACGTCACATGGATTTTTCTTACAACTCGGCTGAGTGGGCCTCATCCCACGGTCAAATTTAATGTTTTGTAATAAAAAAATATAAACTTCACTGTCAGTTTTGACCTTTGTCTTTCTTGTCACTTCACTACTTTTTGTATTGCGAAAAGATGTGAAATCTTTTCTTACTTTTTTAATCAAGTTACATCTACGGTATTTCAATAAAAATACCCAATATTTCTTTAAATACACTCACTTGATAAACCACAATCTTGGACACGCCAGCTTAGCACGATGTTATTATGGTGCAGTTATGTAAGAAAGATGCATAAAGGAGCCACTCAGTTGGTGATGTAAACCTTTTTATTAATAATTGAAAATTTAATTACCTTGACTTTTTGAAATTATAGTAAACATAACATTTATTTTAAAATTACTTAAAATTTCTAAAATAAATGACAAACCGAAAGTAAACTTGTTGTTCTTTATTTATAAGCCCCCCTTGCGATTAAAATTCAAAACCCTCTGGATTAGTTTTCTAGGTAGATCTGGCGCCTGAAAAAAAATGTGTTTCTCATATTTGTTTACTTTGTTAGTGACCTAATTCTTAACAGAATTTCTTTAATTATTACATCTATAACCCGTTAATTTTTTATATATTACATTTGTCTCCTTTTTTATTTTTTAATCATTACATAATTTATATTTACTAAAGTCATCACACAATTCAAAATAAGATTACTACGTGCGTAGTTCATCACGTGACAATTAGGTGACTTCCAGGCAAGAAGCATCGTAATAGATTTATAAATTACGATGATAAAAAAAAACATCAAAGCTCACATAATCTAACTAATTACAAACTTAAAACTTAAATTATACATTAACAGGTTTTATTACAGGTATCTCGGAGTTACTTAAAGTTAAATATTTTGACTAATTAATTAACTATACTTTAATTTGCTGCCGAACTTTAACGATTTTACTAATTTATATTTCATAAAAATTATAACCGATAATAGAGTCAAAAATGATATTAGTAAGTAGAACACCAGTTCTAACTCTAGGTATTCTGTCCAGGACATGTTTGCAGCAGGTGAGCGGAGGTGTTTAGCTCCACCATGTCGTAGCACATACTCCGTCCAAAATACGGCTCGTTCTAATGGAGTTTGAGGCTGGTCGTCAATTATTCTCTTCATGCGTACGATGTTTCGCCGATAACTGAGAAAAAAAAATAGTATGTGACAGACAAGCTGAAAAGATTCTGAATAAATAGAATTTACTCCGGTAAATTAAAATAAAAACATGTTATTTCCATCGTTCTATTTAGGTTTACAACTAAGACTACATAGAATCTGGCCGCAAGAAGTACTTAAACCAAATCGAGCAAAATAACAAAAAGGTATGACCATCATTTCCTCGAAGCCATTCCAATTATTCGTCACATCATATTGGAATAAACTAGAAGTTATATATAACTTACCAAGAGGAACCAATAAATATAAAGTAATTATACATATTTCATTATATACATTTGGTTGTAAGTCAAAGTTTCTTGATTTTATCACTGTTTGTACTTCTAGCGGACTCACAAATGCCAAATTTTACTAGCGCAGCTACGAAGCCAAATTAGCTTCAGTAGCGAAAATCGGTTATTGACACAAATGATTTGTTTATGAATTCTAGTTAGTGGTTTGGACGTTGTTTGGATAATAAAACTTACACACACTAGGTGCTGTATCCATTCAAACTTTGCGCTCTCTTATATAATGAACTTTTCCTAATATTGTATACTCCTACCCATAGTTCTGATTTTTCACTCCGGGACGACCTTTCACTAGCTTTCATAAATTTTTCGACCAATAATATCAACTTTAACTTTATTTTTGTTATAAGCTTGACTACTATTCTTGGTACCCACCTGTCGTTATTTAGTATTTCATTGATAGCGTTTCTGAATTTCTCTTCATCAATAGTCTCCATATCTACTCGCACACCAATACCATGGTGTACATACTGTTCTACATTATACCACTGATCTGCGAACATAGGTATACCGATCAAAGGAACTCCGCCTGTGATAGCTTCATCGGTTGACTGCAAACCTCCTTGAGTGATAAATATCTTGATTTTAGGATGCCCTAAGAATAAATGACCAATTAAATATTTTGAGTTTTCTTATATATATTTGCATTGTTATACATATATAACATATTATGTTACATATATAAGCTATTTTTTAAAGTGGCTTTTCCATTTATATTTACGAAACTATGGACGAAGGTTGTATGTGCAGGTTATATATACATATGTCGTGGGCCAATCGTTGACTTGGGCCGGTCGAGATCTGCTTTGGCATATCACAATATGCCGCCAGTTTTTCAATGCTAAACTTTTGACTATACATCATTTGAATAATTTATATTTTGAGTTCGTATTATTGTTTTATCAATTATATGTTTAAAGGTCGAATGTCATAGCTTTTAAATAAACTAAATGGTCACTGTACTGATACAGATTAAATTAGAATGAACTTTGCGCAAATGGAAGCCTTACCAATCAACCGTTAGTGCCGATCATATTAAGGTAAGTATTGGGGCAGTTTGTGGTGCACTTGAGCAAAATCGCCGGCTAGATGGAATTTTTGTTATTTTTCTGGTTTTTAAAAAGTTTACGTAATGTTACTCACTCAGAAAGTCAGCTTGTGGCAACCACTTTGTGATTTTGATATTTTCACTGCGCCCGGGCAATTCGTCCTTGCTCCATTTCCATAATATATCATATGGTAGTTTGGAGAAGACGTTTATTAATGTCTGAATTTTATACGGAGGCAGCAAAGTCGGATCGACGTTAGTACCAAAACTCACATAAATTACTCCGTGTGTAGAGGATTCGAGGTATGATCTGATATCCTGAATAAAAAATTCATTAGTTATATATGAATAAACATAATGAACTATTTAAATAAAGTCAAAAAATCTTAATAAATTAATATATATTTAATTATAAATAAATTATAACTAGTTTTCCGCCAGCGGCGACGCCTGCATGGTCCCAAGGGAACTGTTTATTTGGATATCGATTGGGTATAATGAAGATGAGAAATTGAATAGCAAACAATGGTTACATTGGTAATAATGGTTAATGGTAACGTTTTGATTCCCTATACAAATTTCCACTGCTATTTTCATCCTTTTGTTGTTTTTTGTAGCCTATTTTAACCGCATAAGGTGTAGCTTCACATAGATAGAAGAATTTTTAAAACCAGTAACTTCAGAGATTGTTCAATGCAAACAAACTAAAATTAGTAATATAACACTTAATATAGTAATCATTTCTATCATATACTTATCTATCATTATTTAGGTTTTCGACAATCCTACTTCACTTCTTCTCATCCTACTTATATTATAAATACGAAAGTTTTTAGGGCGGATATAATTATCCCGTATATAATTTAAAGGATTGATTGAAATTTGGTATACGACTAATTCTAAACCTGGATAAATAAAGGATACCTTTTATATTATTACATTCTCTATGGATAAATATACTGTCAATCCATCATGTGAATACCTTGGACGAAGCCACTGGCAAAAAACAAGTAATTTATAAAAACCAGATGTTTTCCATGCACAGCACGTTAGTTGTACAATCTTGACACTTGTTTATTTTAAACTCGTATATATTAATTACTTATTACGAACTATAGAATATATTTATTATGTATAAATAAAACTTACTTCAGGCAATTCTCTTTCAGGTTTCTGATGTAAACCTCCCAAATATATAATATTTGGTGGCACTGGACGATTCATTTCCCAAAACGTATGAACGTTTAAAAACACTAACTCAACATTTTTCTTTAACTCACTCAGTTTTGGTACTTTTGCACCAATTACTCTTTGCAGTATAGCGTCAGAGTCAGTTTCATAGTTTAGTGCTATTTTTTGTAATTCATAAGAAATATATAATTGCTTCAATTTGTCCCAAATTGTCATATTGTAAATTTTCTGTTGGACCGGATAAGGATACAACAACGGGTGAACTGGTAGCCCGACAATATTAGGGACGTCGGGAATAATTCCGAGTGAGCTTATTTGAATCACAGGTACTTTTAGTACATGGGAAAATATTAAAGCCGATGTACACAATGCTTCGTGAATCAGAAGATCAAACTTCTTTTTGCCACTTAATATTTGTTTTACTTCTTTATTTTCCAGTTGTTTTTCAATTAAATTCAACCTCGTTGCATATATAGCCCTCAATTGTGGAACGATGTCATTACTTCTTCCTTGTATAATGTTTGACGAACGCATTTCTTTACGATAAATATCATAAGAAACATCATGGACATCGATTTCCGTAAGATTGACAGGTGTTTCGCTTTTATGATATATCGGATCCGTAGTCAAAACTACCACACTATGGCCTCTTTTGATCAGTTCGAGAGTCAAAGGTCGAAACACTATTTGATGACTGATAGATGGCGACGGATACACTGCCAATATTCTTGCTGCGTCATTTTCACAAACTGTCACAATTAACAATAAAATTATGTACAATATTAGTACTATCATTGTCTTGTCTTTATCGTATAGTTCGCATGAAATGTCATACAAGTAACGAGTATGTATATTTATATACGATATTTATGAGCCGATAAAAATAAGATATTAGTTAAAGTAACACACGCACAAATAGTCATGGCTTTTCATTCTATTTTAAGATATTGATTTATGAAAATCTCGATGTAATAATATACAGGTAACAAAAATGCAGTGATTATTGTACTACTCATTTACATGGTTACTGATTCCACAGAAAATATTTATTCTTTTTTTTTACCCAGTCACCATACCTATTTTAATGGACTTAGCTCTATGCTGCGAAGAATATATTTTCGTCTTTTCGTAAGTGTAGAAATTTTCAAAATCGGTCCAGTGCATCATAAAACCAAACCTTCCGCTGAAAAATATTAGTCTAATAGAGAAATACATTTCTTTATGTACTTACGACAATAGAATTTCTTTTTCAGTTTAGAAAGTTGTATAACAAAATTTATACAAGGTATAGTGGCGCAAAACAATTGACACTTAAGTCTAACGTAAAAGCCTTTTACACATATTGTTAACGAGTTGATGGATAATAATGCCAGAAGCCATTATAATGAAACATAAATGTTTCAAGGTCAGCAAGGCATTAGGCGTTAATATTTAGTCAATAAACTTTATGTTAATTGCCTACCATGTTTAGTAGATATATAAATAGAATATTCTTTATTGTACACACGAAACAAAATACAATTATCACAAAAATAGGATACGTATAAATGACGCTCTTATTACTAAAAGTGATCTCTTCCAGGCACCCTCAAAATGGCGTTAAATATAAAAGACCGAATAATGGGATAGTGGATGGGGTGTTACCTTAAAGCAATTTATAAATATGGATAGAATTAAAGACAATGATCATTTGATTGATTAATTACACTATTATATTGCGGTATTCTTCCGTTAACATTTAGTGTAAGATTTATTTCAATCGGTTCACAAATAAAAAAGTTATGTCAATTTGAAGTGACGTGTTCGCTATGAAATGTTAACTGTTTTATTAAATTTTCGTCTTCGATATATTGATCATCATCATTAACTTTTACAGCCAAACTGCAGGGCCTCAGGCCTTTGTTTAATAATTTTTGGTCACCCATCCCGTGAACAACTTTTGCGAAAATTGCTTAGCAATAGCAATCGTGCGCAGAGGCGCTTATTCGTAGCGCCACCGAGCTACGAATTAATATTTTCTATAAAATGATAATTTGTATGTTGACAAATAAAAAAATAAGATTACAAAATTTTGATCTCTCCGAAGTAAGTTGACCTCATTTATATACGACCAATCACATTAAATAGGGTTCAGCTTATAATGGACGTGTGGTATAAGATCACGTGAGTAGGAGAGCAAGCGAAAAGAGCCTTCCGATAATGCAATTAAGCATCGAGTAGTTTACAGTGAACGCATATTTTTATCAGATTAGGTTCACGTCGTCGTCGGGGCCAGCGGAGGTGGTTGGCAGCCGCCCCCGCATTGCACGGTTTCGTCTGTCTGGGAGAGGCACTCGATTTACCCGAGCCTCTCCAATTTTCCATCTGCAAGGGGACCAATGGTCCAATACTTGAGTGTCCTGGTGATTCGGCCATAGCTTGCTGATTTTCATCTCCCATGAGAGGGTGTAGCATACGGGTTTTGGTGGGTAGGCCTCTGGGGACCTACACTGGGCAGCTCACTGTCGGGTTCATGGAGGAGAATCCTACTCACCCCCTGCTGCTTGCCGGGTAACAGAGACAATGTCGGATGCTTTACCACGACGTTAAAAAAGTTAGATTAACGTCAACTGAAGTTAAGAACGTACAGACAACTCGAGATATTTTTTTTTCTCTTATTACTTTTTTTATGTTAATATATATATATTTTTAACATACAAATTGCTGTAGATTCGTTCTTCAAAGTTGGTAATCTCAGTCTTCGCTGGAAACAATGGTTTATTCATTGGTCACAACACTCATATAATATTACGCGAGTCTGAGGGTCGGTTCAGAGTAGCTCGGTGGCGTAGTGAATAAGCGTCATGGCCCGCGATTGTAGTTGGTAAGTAACTTTCGCATAGGTCGGTCACTGGATGGGTGACCAAAACAATATTATCTCAAACAACTCCAAGCTTCGGAAGGCATGCAAAGCGATTGGTCCCAGTTGTATTTGCAGTCGTTAATATCCTCCAATCCGCATTGGGCCATGATGGAGGGTCGGCATGAATGGGCCGGCTCGACCGGAGTGATACCACGGCCTTACAGAAAACCGACGTGTAGCAACGCTTGCGTTGCGCTTGGTCTCTGTGAGATCGCAGTAAGCACAATAGAGATCGAGAAAGTGGTTTCAATTATCGTCAACCCGTGTTGCCTTCATACTCCAGATGCGTACCGCAGATAAGTTTTCACAGAGTATAATGAACTAGCTGTTTTTCCGCGACTTTGCCGCAAAATTATAGCCTATGATATCCGCGCCTGATGTAGCCTCCCGTAGGTCGGAATCACTCTGAAACTATCGGTCCAGTAGTTTTGGAGCAAATTCAATTACTTGAAAATAGAACAATAAATAGCCGATTATGCATTCAACTAGACAAATAATATTAATTTAAAAAGATCATAAACAAAAGAAGGACAGTTTCAAGGTACGAATTAAATGCTCAGACACAAGCGACAACCAGAGCGCGAGAAACGAGAAAAAAGATAGAAAAATAACATTCGTAAGGACCGTTCACGGGATGGGTGACCAAAACGTAATTATGTTGAGCACTGTGCAAAACACTGGCACCATGCACGTTAAGCCGTTAGTCCTGGCTGCATCAGCAGTTAATACCCACCGATCCGCATTAAGCCCGCATAGTGGGTTATGGCCCATTGATCTTATTCAATTCGACTCCATTCATAAGTTAAAAAGAATTCTACCAAAATACTTCCCACGCAGACGAAAAGTCGCGGGCACAGCTAGTAATTAATAAACTTAGTGTGCCTTATCAATTTCAAATTCATTGTTTCTCTTAAACAAGTTAAGTTGCCAATCATGATTAATTTACAATTTGAAGTTTACTACACTCTGTTTATCATGATTTATCGTGACAAAAGTCGGTGTATTTAATGAATACATGCTGTTTTTGCTTATCGAATACGTAAAATGGCATGACTTGCAAGTATTCAATGGTATTTTAGTCTTCTATACAATTGGAGTGTCTGTATGCAATATTAATATAACGGCTATTTATTAAATTCATTATGTGTACACGGTACATAGGTATACCAAAATAATATTCTTTAAATTTCTTTCTGACTCTCCGTTTGTTTGTTCCGGCTAACCTTTGAAATAGCTGAGCCGATTTTGACGGAACTTTCACGGGCAGATAGCTTATGTAATAATCTGAATTTTAATATTAATATGTTTAAAGTTTCATTGGCCATTATTACATTTAATATAGGATTTCTGACTTAAGAAATGCATCAATAATTAAAACTTAAAACGCCTTTTAAATAATAGACAGCAAATACAGTACCATTAACGAATCTAAAATGTCGTTATTAATCTAAAAATATATGTTCAACAATCTTTTTCTTGTTCATTTACAAAAGGTACATACTTAATTAATAAACTTGTTGCAACAGTTTAGATATTTTGATGTTTTAATTGAATTCGGGTAATTCGTCCTTGTTCTATTCCATAATCTGCGAATTTTAGTTTGAAAAAACATTTATTAGTGCCTGAATTTGGAATGTAGTCATGTCACTGCAAACGCCAGTCCAAAACTTATGTAAATAACTCACCTATATGGCCGGTTTCTAAATTGAGAAAAGTACAAAATCTCAACTGGTTATGCTCAATAACGTTGAGGTACAGTTTGGGGTGTTGTAACGTTGTTCTATTTAATGATAAAACAGTAAATTAATGTTTACGTGTCTCCGTATTAATTATGAATTGTTTATCATTATTTACAAACTGCAAATAAATTAAAATAAATAATAATCTTAAAACTATGTTAATTTTTAATGAAAACTTAATAACTACTAAAGAATAAATAATTATACGTTAAAAAAAAAATACTTAAAACCTAACTATATACAAATTAAATATTTACAAACAAACAGATCGCACGCAGATGTAATATATATATACAGCGATGTTGGCGCGGGCGCGGGTAGCATAAAAAAAAACGATAACAAGTCGACCGCGCGGCGGCCGGCGGCGGCCAGCCGCTCGTGCCTGTTGCGAGCCACACTTACAAATGAATCTTGTTTGAAAACAGCTGTGTAACGCTTTTCAAAATATAAAGTCTGTTCGATTTTTACTAAGTCTTCGACTGACGATTCTTATTTTAAATAAATATATAAAAAAAAAAGTTTAAATAAATATAAGAAACACTTAGAAGTGTAGTGAAAAAATATAATCCCGTACTGGGTAAGTTGTGCATTTAACCAATTATTTAATGAGTAGAAACGTTTGAATTATTGTAGTTACTTATTTTACATTTCTAAGTATGCAGCTTTTGCTTAATTAATTTACTTAAGTTTAACAAGAATCACCGTAATATTTCATGATCAATAATAAAAGTCATTATTGATATATATTTTATATTGCTACCTACGTTCCATGTTCTTTTTTTTATTTCATTTAAATGCCATCAGTTTATGTAACCGTTACTGCTTTTTTTATTTATAACTGCCACTTCGACCCAGATTAATTAAGAATACTCTCTTCACTCCTGTACTAACTAGCTTTGCTAGATTCTACGATTTAATTGCTAATTTTAACGACCAACGCTAGTGGCAGTACCCGACTTCTCTTTCCGGGTAATAATGTGGCATTATTGTGACTTCTTCAGGAACTCCGTACGGATTAAGAAAATCACGCCAACTTTACTTATACTGGGAATTGATATTTGAGAATTGGAGAAGTGCCTTATGGAAACCAGAAATTGAAGCCCGGCGCACCGTAGAATTCACAGGAGTACAGGGAAGTTCTATCGAGTGATCTACCATCAGACCTCTAAGAAACCTACCCACGACCCTAGGAACCTTGACCTCGATTTTACTTATCGCAAATAAATATTCTTTCTTATATATCGTTTT